TGTGTGTGTGTGTGTGTGTGTGTGTGTGTGTGTGTGTGTGTGTTATTCTAAGCCTTAGCAAGGACTGACCGGTAATCTCAGAGGCTCGCTTCACAGGTCTGAAGATTTTTCCCTAGCCACCCTTTCACTCAGGGTATATAACCTCTTAAGAGCTATCCATCCAGGTTTCAGCTCTCTATTTTTTCCCTGCCCATTAGAGATTTCTCTTGTTTTCTTGGGAACTCAGCAACAGATTTAAAATTGCACGTTTATGAACATGTTTCAGCATCTGCTTTACAAAAGAGGGATTTTCAAAATGTCTAGTCTATCATACTCCCCAAAGCCAACAGCCCTTTTCTTGATTTTTAATCATTTCCCTATTACTTATACTCATTCAATTATTCCTAGAAATATATATATCCAGTTATGTTAATTCAAGTGTATACTGTATCTTTGGCTATGAAAAAACAATAGCATATAACTTTACCAAGGAATCAGTTATAACAGGAGAGATTCACCATACTACTCCCCTTGAACCTGGAGGGTCAATGGCTTCCCTCTTGCAGGGTGAGGTGCCTTGAATATTAGGGTCTATAAAACCAGCCCAGAGCAAAGCATATACATGCCTTTAGTTGAATCCAGTTAAATAATCCAGTTAGCTATGCATGCTGAGCAAACACACAAGAAAATTACTTCAAGATATAGGTAACCCACCCCAACTATATTCCAAATATCCCTTAACACATTCTGTAGGTACAATGATAAGTATCTCTGACTTTTAAACATGTAACTATATGTTGTTACAGGATAGCACGCAAATGGTAGGATTCAATAAATGATAACTGTAGTAAATGTTTACATACAGCATATTGGTTAGTCAAGTAAAAATGTCTCCCCATTCACAATCTGTTCAGACCACCTGAAATTTAGACATATGCTTTAAAAAAAAAACACAAATTAGCATATTCTAACCTACTCCCTTCCAATGAATATATTAACCACTTTTCTTCAGCCAAGTAAAAGAGAAGACCTTATGCTACAGAATGGTGTTTTCTGAATGTGTTTAAAGCCGTTAAAACTAAATTCAACTCAAAATTTGTCAAGAGAGGTAACAACTGTGTCAGCAGTAAGTTTTCTACCCGTCTAACGAGTAAAGACTATCTCCAGCATGAAGTAAAATCAGAGAGGCAGCCTAGATGAGGAACTCAGAAAGATTCCCAGCTCCTGAATCTAAACTTCACAAAGTCATGTTCTCATTTTGGCTGTTAGGCAAAAAATTCCTAGAGAAACAAAAGGTATTTTCCTGATAAAAATCTAAAACATTTTTCAAGCCTCACATGAATTACCATTTTGAATTATTTGCCCATTATATTCATTCTTAGCATTAACCATAATAAAGCAGTTCATCATAAACTAGGATTGAATGACTCAATCATATTTGTTAAGAATACGTTACGGGCTTTCCTTACTACATATGATTAAAAGTATTGGCAAAATATCACATGGTAAACAGTATACTATTAAAATTCCAGATATTTAAAAACAAAATTAGACAGCTATAATTTTACTACCAGTTCTGTCACTTACTGTGTAATCTCCAACAAGTTTCTTAATTATACATGATTGTTTCTTTATCTGAAAATAGGAGAATAATAGACCTTGCAGGACATTTGATCCAAGGACAAAAGGTCCTTGATATTTGGTCCTGTCCAAATCCAACATCCACACTTAGAAAATGTCACCAGGTTCAAAGAGCCCACAATGTTTATTTATACTTTTCCTTTACAGGGTTAATATATTAAAAATACTACCATGTTTTATTGATAGTATTCATAGGTTCAAAAATTGTGTGTGTCTGTATTGCCAGTAATAACCCTTCTTGCCTCAGTAGCCTGCCTAGTAATGGCACATGGGGTTACATAGGTGGACTGGGGTTCAAATCTAGCAAAACAGTTAGATTTATATTAACTATGCATGTTTTGGCTAGGACCAAAGTTCAAGGACCCTTTGGCATGAACCAAATGTCTACAGACATTATAGACAGGACCAAATATCTACTAATCATAATACTAGTTACATCATAGCGGTATTACAAGAACTGAAAAAAATAATGTAAGTAATATGCTTATCAAAGTTCTTGACATATACATAGTAAGTGCTCAAAAAATAGCAGTTGTTACTTTCACTAGGATGATTGATAATGATAGCAATTTTGGGAGACATGATTTAAAGCAACATAATTTATTTGGGGAAAGTTGTTTATAACTGCATTTTAAGTATAGATAAATCTCAACTCCTATAATTAATTGCAAAACTAAGGCAAAATGAAGCAGTATCTCAGTGTCTAAATTTACTTTCTAATGTATCTATTGTAACACACGCAAGATAATGGGGATCGGCATTACCTTATCAAGCACTGTATATGGATTTTCTGCCTTAAAACTGAAAGGAGCAGAGAATCTGAATCTCTCTCTGAACTCAGCCTGCTTCTCCTGATCAGGGAGAGAGAAAGAAAACAAAAATGAATCTCAAACAAATAGCTTCAATTATCCTTGTAAAACTTTTCTTAAAAAATAAAAAATAAAAAAACTTGGTTGCTAGCTTACATCAAACAAAACACATTTTTTCCTTATAAGAGTGACTTCTGCATTTTGGAGAGGTGAAACTTCATGTCTGACAGTTGCTGCAATCTTTTTGGTAGTTTCCCATCTTTCAGGTAATTCCTACAAAAACACAGGTGCAAATGGGAAATTACTTCAATGCCTAAAACAAACCAACTCCATAACATTAAATAATTCTAATCTCTTTACACTAACCCATGACGTCTTCTCATTCTTCTATAAGAGAAGGAGTTTATCTCAAAGAAGATTAAAGTGACTAAAATGCTTAGAGTCAGGCTGAAGTCCAGACTGACCCACTGGCACCCTTGGATTCTTATCTTCCAGCCATAAACTAGAGTTGTCCTCTAGTGTTCGTTTTATCTCAGAATAACTGAAAATCTTTTCAAAATAAACACAATTTTCCAAATTGTTTTGCTTTTGAGGGAATAAAATTAAAGTGCTCTGGAAATGACTTTGCTAATCTCTAACAACTAGAAATGGAGCCATGTTTAGCAAGTTAGCAGGTGAAAAAAGATGCTTTGAACATGGCAGGGCAGAGATTAAAACGTGACTCAATCTCATCCTCCGCTTTCCTCTAATCTCAGAAGTGCTGTGTGTACCTGTCTTGATGGAGAGCTGGAACATTTAGGTTAGGTTAATTTTAAATGACTATGATTTTTGAAGTAAGAAGAGACAAAGGGAAGGGAAGGTGAATCCCTATTTGATGTAGGACAAAAGAAGCAAGAAATCGTTCAGGTAGCAACTCCACTGCGCTCTCTCTGACTACAATACAAATAGGACAACAGGAAGTTATTTTCTTTGAAGAGCCATTATGCATAATTGCTGTTGAAAAGCATTCCTTGTATCCAAACAAAATGTTGTTTCTCTGGGTCATCTCCTTGGACACTGAAATTGTTTTGTCATACAAAACCACCCAGAGTGATGAGCCTCTCCTCCTGTAGCTCAAGAGCAAAAATCAAAGGTTCTAAGGACTATTTTGTAACCCTCGATAAATATTTGATGAGTGATTCAGTAACTGCCAATTTTGAAGCGTGAACTGTGCTAAATATAAATTCTATCTGTGCGGTGCAAGAAGTGCTACAAAGATAAAACATTCTTTGGCTTAAATTGTTTAAACCTGTCAGAATGAATGAAAGGCACACACAATAACTATTCTACATGACAGAATGTGTTAACTTCCATCAGGAGGTCTGTGTCGTGGAATTAAAATGCTTGGAGGCGACATGATAGGAATCATGATAGGAATACTGACCCAGGCCAAGAACCAAGGGACCTGGGCCTAAACCTACTTGTCCTTCATCTTGTTCTTTCATCCTTTATCTCATCAAAACTCTGCATCCTCATCTGTACAGAGTCTCACTTTGCATTTTCAGTTGAGCTCATGGAACTTAAATATCACACGAAGTCCCCTTAGAGGCTATGGGTGTGAAGCCATAGAAAGGGTACATAGGTGGGCTCAGGCCCCTCAACCCTCTGTGACTACGCTACACCTTCTGTTACCTGCTTTATATTTGGTGATTCCGTATAAGCGTCCACTTGATAAAAACAGATTTTCATTGAAAACTGAAAGATCAGATGATCCCCAAAATCTCTATAACTGATACGATCCATTCAAGGGGTAACACTGAATCTGAGGCTCAAAGGAATGACTGGGTTTCAACAGGCAAAGATTAGGGGGATCCCTTGAGATCCTGTGAAGTAAGAGTACCAATGCAGGATGGGGTGAGAGTGTGGGCTCTAATGGAAACTGGACAGTATTCAAAGGCCAGGGGCAGTCAATGAAAGTTTCTTAGCAGGGAAGGGGCTCAATAAAATCTGTAAATCGGAGTTTAATCTAGCTTCATGGTATATTGTAGATAGAGTGTGAGGACCCAGCCATATTTCAGAGCTTTCAGATAGAACCAAGCACAGGCAAGTATTTGGAAAATATTGTGACTGCTAATGATTTTGAAGGAGAAACAGTCACTACAGCAAGTTGCTTTAATTAAAATAAAATTGGAGCACTATTATTCTCCACATGAAACTTGCACCGCCTACAATCATAGTTTCTCCCGACCAGCCTGAATCACTGACATAGAAGCACACACATAGCTAAAAGTGTGGTCTGCTTTGAAATATTGACAAGCTTTATATTTTCAGTACTGGCAAAACTTTAAGCAGTGAGCCAAGTGTTTATAATACAATTCCTGGGGAAAATGGCTAAATTCCTCCCTATCAATTACCTGTGTTATGATTAGATTCTCTATACGATAAGGTGAAGGACTGGAGCCAAAGAATATCCAAATCTTTCTAAAACTGAATAAATAAAGTCGCTGTTCTACTGTAACTGTTTCACCCTTCACTCCTGTTAAGTATCTATCCATCCACATCTTATTTCATATCCATGTCTGACTGGATTTTCAGTTCTCAGGACAGCTTATACTTCCGTACAAGTTACCAATTCATATATCGTAATTCTTTATAGTCTTTTTTAAATCAAGAGAGCACTTGTAAATATACTGTTGCATTTAATCCTCACAAAAGAAAATGCGGGACATATAATGGGGCGCTACCATGAAAAAGTCTGGCTGTTCCTCAAAAAGTTAAACTTAGAATTATCATATGACTTAGCAATTCCACTCCTAATTCCAAAAAAAGAAAATATCAAACAGGCACTCAAACAAAGACTTGTGCATAATAGCCAAAAGATGGAAAAAAACCCAAATGTCTATCAACAGATGAAAGGCTAAACAAATCGTGGTGTATGTATATACCCAAAGGAACATTATTCAGCCATAAAAAGGAATGAAGTAGTGATACATACTGCAATATGAATGAACCTCAAAAACACTATGCCAAATGAAAGCCACACACAAAAGGCCACATATTGTATAACTCCCTTTATATGAAGTCTCTAGAAAAAGGAAACCCATAGGTATAGAAAAAGACTGGCAGAAACCAAAAGTTGGTGGCTGGAGGAGGGAGATGGGGAATGACAACTAATGGGTATGGACTTCCTTTCTGGAGTGATGAAAATGTTTTGAAACTAGATAGGAGGTGGTGGTTACACAACACTGTGAATGTACTAAATTCCACACACTTTGAAATGGTTACTTGTGTGTCATATGAACTGTGAATTTCACCTCAATTTAAAAAAAAAAAAAAGAACAGAAAGTGGGAAATGAAAAATGGGGGACAGTGTAGAAAAAAATGAGGTTATTTTGAAGGGTATTTTACTGCACATTCTGAGGCAAGCAGATGAGACAGACTCATACAGTTCTCAAAAATGAATCTAAGTTTGAGTTCCATGCTCTAATCACTGACTAGCATTCAATAAAAGTTTTTTAGTTAATGTGTCCACTGGTTACATTTGCAAGGTTAAAGGTAAGTGCAACCTGAAAACTGGTGGGCAATGTAAATATAGACTATCTATAGAACATTAATATGGGCATGGAAATCGAACCTCAACTAGGAGCTCTTTATTCATGGTTTCAGTCATAACTAAAAAGACTTTGTGCATCAGATGGCACACAGCAGCCACCAAGTTTTTCCAGAGCACGGAAACAGGAGGATGACACAGAAACCCTGTTTAGGAAACACAGTGATTCTACATCCCAGCTGGGCTTTATTCATTCTTTATTAACATGTCCACGGTATGTTTCCAAACACTAGGACACTTCCCAACTGGCAGGCAGCTTTAAATGAAGGAGAGCTCGGATATACTTCATGTGTGAACGTGATGGTTAAAGTGGACCTCAGAAAAGAAACTTAAGAGGCTCTCTACTACCTAAATACCTTCCAACAAGAAGGCAGCAGAGACGGAGGTTAAGAGTGAATACTGTGGCATGAAACACCCCTAGATTCGTGTTGGCTGGATTGACTACTTGTGTGACCTTGAGAAAGGTATCAAGTCCCTTTAAGCTTCAGATTCCTCACCTGTAAATGAAAACGTTAATGTAAACAGTACAGGTTGCTATGAGTATGTCATAAGAGGGTGCATATAAAGAACTTGGCCACTGGAGATGCTCAGTTTATGGTAATAATGATTATTTTACCCCTGCACTTACCTCTAGCTGAATATAGACTTGCTCAGGCATCTTCTGGCCATAGGTTTCCAAGAGTGTGATGGTTTCTTTCAGTGGTTCAAAGAGTTCATCAGTGGCTCTCTGTCGGGTTCTTACAGCCAGAAGATGCCCCATGATATCAACTAAAATATCATGATCACCTTCACTTAATTCCCTCTGAAGTCCAGCATCTGTCTCCTTTATAAATTCTTGGAGCTCAGTCAGACTATTAAATAAATATATATAGACAGACACACACACACAAACGTGCACACACACACATTAAGCTCATTAAAACACTTAGACGTATAAGACTTCTGATTGAATCTAATTTTCATTCTTTAAACAAACATTACTTGTTTGTTTATTATTGTCCATTATTTTCCATATATTCCATATATTCCATATTTTGTCCATTATAAATTTGTCCATTATATATATATATATATATATATATATATATATATATATATATATATATATATATATATACACATATTTGTCCATATATATTTGTCCATATATAAATTTGTCCATTATAAAACGGGCAGTTTTAACGCTCTTAAAATTAATATCTCAATTTTAGAAAGCAGCCAGGTGTTACATTTTAATTCCAAATACCAAAACACAAAAGGCTACCTGTCGATGACAAATCTCAAAAGATGCTCCTGAAACATCCAGCTCCATTTCCTAATAATGTTCAGCAAGCTCGCTTTGAAAGGCTTCATGTCCACCTTCAGCCAACTATCAAATACTCTGAAGTCATCAAACTTGCTCATCTGAACATACAAAGCCTCATAAACATCAATCTACAATTAGAAAAAAAAGAACTATAAGAACTCAACCAAAAGCCAAGAATTACATTACAAGCTAAGAGTTCTCCTTGCCTGTTCCTTGAATTGGTCAAGAGTTGGTGGCTGTTCAGAGATTTCTTCATTTGCTTGAGAATCTATTTCCTCGGGTGACACAGTCTGGCCATACAGAAGAAAATGCTTCATAAACTCAGCTCGGTCATCTACCCAAAGGTAAGCGTACATGTCCAGAGTATTTCTGAAGTCCAAGACTTTGGTGATGACGCCTGCCACTCTGTTCAGTATCTCTTGCCTGACCTCCGCCAGGCCTAACATGTTATCCATATCATTCTAAACAAAAAGAAAACCGAGCACTTCTTAAAACCATCCTTGCTCTAGCAATGACATACAACACAACATTATCCAAGACCAGTCTTCAAAGGCACAGTAGCTGGTAAAATAAAAAATTGTGTTGCTTTTTCCAACTTCCTTGTACTCTCCATTACCCCCAAATTATTTCTAAATCATTAATATAAAAGCTATTACCTTTACAAAGAAAATACCTGATAATTTGGTATTTCCAGATGCGTTGCTACTCGCTTCATCTGGGCAGACATTCTAAAACTACTGCATAGCATTTCTTCTACCAGGTCATAGAAGCCATCCCCAGCTTCTCTTTCTAAAGACGGTTTAAACAGAATCTCAGGGGGCATTAAGATCATTTGTGCTTGAAAAAATGGGGCAGGCTTTAATCGCTTCTCCGTATTCATCAGAAAGAAGTCTAAGTCATGCATTATAGCTTGGAAAAAGCCTTCTACCACGATGTCATCAATGAATTCTACATAAATCTTCCAGGTATCCAGAGAAGGGTTGGCTTTGAAGAGCTTCCTATTTTCCTAGAAACATACAAATGAATAGATGAGTATAAACACTAGTGAGTATAAAAATGAAAGTTTTCCATTTAAAGGGTTAAAGAAGAGACTGAATTTTTGTGCACAACACGGGAACATTCCACCGCGAGGCTGCAGAACCCTAAGCTAGGCGGTCAAGATCTAAGTCAGATTTTGTAACATGTAGTTCGTCCACAAAATACATTCAAAAGTCATTCTTTAAAGGAAAAATCAACTAGATTGAAGAACAAAACGACAGCAACTTGTCTGTTCCCCTTCCCGCAATTCCCCATCACTGTTCCCATCCCCCCAATTACCCAATAAAAATCTTTTTAAAAAAAAGGAAAAATCATCATGAAGACAGCTATCTTCAGGTACTGACCAGAAATATACTAGTCCCCAATGCATTCTAGATGTATTCGACATGGGCTCTAATTCTTGCTCTGTCCCTAACCCTGTGTGGCCTTGAACTCTGCCTTCCAGGGACCTGCTTGCAAATGAAGAGGTTGCCCAAACTCATCCTTCAGAGAACCCTGCTCTGGGATATCCAAAATTCACTAAGTGGGCAAAGTGCTATGTATGCTAGGCCATTTTGGAGATTCACGGTGCGCCTATCATATGAAAGTCTATTTAACTTGGTTTAACCCAATTGTTTCCAAGCGAATATTTCTTGGCAACTACCTATGAGCAGCCTGTGGAATAGTAACTCAGCTTGGGGAACGCTGGTCTGATAAAGTCTAAGCTGTCTTTGTGTTTCATCAATATGAAGTTCTTCTAGCTCTCTAGCATCTCCCAAGAGTGTGGGTGAAATTAGGGACAGGTAGATGGGGCACAAGAGGACCTGGCACAGATGTGGTTAAAGACTGCTAGAGGTCGGGCATGCAGTGTGGCAGGCCTTGTGACATAGATTTGAAAAGGTCTGGTGGGCAGCAAGGTTGATTCCAGAGACATCTTCTGAGTGGCAAAAGTTACAGTCTATACAGACCAGAGGGCAGACGCCTAAGGCAGAAACAACAGCACAGAGAAAAGGGGACACTGGAATGGGAGCTGATTATAAGGTAGACTATGCTCTCTGCTTTCTTTGATTATCTGCTACTGTGGATATATGATCCAGAATTCAAAGGTGTAAAAATCAGAACGACAAAGGTGAGTCTAGCTCCTGATAAAGTAGGCCAGAAATGAGCAAGTCCTAGGGGTTTCTTGACCTCAAACAAATTAGAACTGCCCCTTTCAGGAATACTCTCTTGCCCACCATCCAGGTGGAACTATTTACATCTGTGCAGTATACATGTCCTGCACCCCTGGAGTTGTGCAGTACACATCCTGGGCAGCTGTACACAGCAGCTCCAACTCCTTTGTAGATACTTGAAAGAAGCACAGATCTTAGGGGGAAAAAAAAATCCTTAAACACCACCTTATTCAGTCTCTTCATTTTAAAAATATGAAAACAAAGACCTAAAACACACCAGTGTCACACTTGTAGGAAGTTAGCTGCTAACCAAGGATCAGAAACCATCCCTCTTAGTTCCCCAGGGTAGGGCTCTTTCCAACACATCACAGTAATATACCTGTGCTTGTCTCACTGTTTATACTTTTTCATACCAAGGATCCAGTTTGTATCACTGCAGTGACATTTATATATATATATATATATATATATATACACATATATATATGTGTGTGTGTGTATATATATATATATAAAAGTTCTATTTTCAACAATTTAGGGCAAAGGGAGGAAAAAGAAGAGAAAAGAAGAGTTTTGGGTCACTAAACAATATTTCAGTTTCCTTCCAGACCCAATCTCCCATGGTTCCGCCCTTCCCTCTTCACCTTAAACTCTGACTGCAGACTAGCCACGGGGAGCCCACAAGCCATGAAGGAGGCAGCATGAAAAGGCAGAACTGATTCACCCTCTGCCCTGTTTCCACAGCTTTCCTCCAAACCACATCCCTTACTGGAAGTCTGAGCACCAGGTTCAAAAACATTTGCTGTTAAGAGGGAGGGAGAAAAGTCACTTAAGAGATACAATTTTTAAAAACAAATCATCATTTCATTTCTATTTTGAAATTGAGTTCCCTCGAGTTGGACGCTCTCCTCAGTTCTCATACTGACTTCACAACTTCTTAGTTTTTGGACATAAGGAAACAAAAATGAGTCCATTTATTAGTAGAAAATGTCAACCTTATTCTCTGCAAAACCTTGTTTTGTAATTTTTAGTCATGCATCGGCAATATTTTCGATGCATTTTAATCAGGATTCACAAACCTGACTGGTCTAACACCCCCCAGATGAGTGGTTAAGGAGTATGTTTCTTTTTATTATCAAGAAAATGTAACAGAAAAAACTAATTGTAATCCATCATCTGTCCTCCATGAGACAGATTCTAATGCATAAATAATTATAGGGGTGTCCTAAAAGTCACAGAAAAATTCACAGCATCTCAGCAAACAACTAAGGAATAGTCAATGGCAACACTGAGTTAAGATGCTGCTGAAAAAAACGAATGTCCAGATACATGCCTTCCTTACATGTCAGAACACCCCTGAGATTCACTCAAGGCTCCCAGGCCTGAGGCAGAGGCTTCAGAAGGGGCCTTAGCTCTGCCCACACCTTGATTTCAGACTTCTAGCCTATAAACTGGAAAAGACTAAATGTTTGTTGTTTTGAGACACCCATTGTGGTATTTTGTTATACCAGCTCTAGGATGCTAACACAGTCATTAATCAAAGAAGGCAGGGACAAAAATCTTTGTACTATCAAATTGTTCTCAGCAGGGAAAATTAAAACTTTCTTAGACATTTCAGACAACCTTGGAAGTCAAAAGAAACTTTGGCATCATTATCATCGTCCTTATCATCATTATTAGCTATGTATACTCAATACAGCATATAGAGCGTACCACACCTTACATTTTGGTGGGCAAGTTTGTTACCCTTCAAACACTTTCTTCGCCTGGTATGCAGGACACCACCCTCTCCTGGTTCTCCCCCTCCAGTAAGTTGCCCCTTTTTTGCCCCTGTGGCTGGTTCTTCTTCTCCCCCAGCAGTTTCCTAAGAATGATGTGCCCCAGAGAACAGTCCTTGATTTGCTTCTATCCTCTAACTAGACTGGGTTTGGTGATCTCATTCAGCCTCCTGGCTAAGATACCATTGCCACCAACTTCTCTTTAATTTGCATTTCCAGTTTGCAGCCCTCTCCTAAAATCCAGAGTAGTAAATCCAACTACTGCCACCATTCCTTTAGTGGTCTGACAGACACCTAATCAAATCAAATCAAAACGTCTAAAACTAAAATCTGATCTTCCTGCCTAAATCTCTTCCTCTTATAGCCTTTCCCATCTGAATAATTTGCAACTTTATCTTTCCAGTTGAGCAGGACAAAACTCTTGGAATAATCTTCAGTGCCTCTTTCTTTCATGCTCCCGCCATCCACTCTGTTAGGCAATCCTGTTTGCTCCACTTAATTCAAAATATATCCACAATTCAACCCCTTCTAATCATCTCCACAGCTACCACCTTGGTCCAGGTACCACTACCTGTCACCTAGATTACTGCCACAGTGGCCTGCCAAGCCCCCCACCTTCCCTGGTCTTTCGATAGTCCAATTTTAACACAACAGCCAGAATCCTTTTCAGATGAAAGTTAGATCATATTTACCCCTCTCTCTGAAGCCCTGTAAAGGCTGCCCACGTACCTCAGAGCAAAAGCCAGAGGCCAAAGACCTGTAAGTCCTCCCTGATCTGCCCGCCCCATCCTCACCCCATGAGCATGTTGACCTCACCTCATCCCACTACTCTCCACCTCGCTCCCTCTGCCCCATTCACTTCCCTGCTTTTCAGGGCCACACCAGGTGTGCTCCTCGCTGAAGGCTGCTCCCTGTGCCTGGAACAGTCTTCGCCCAAAGGCCTGTGAGGCTAACTCTGTAACTTTTGTAACTCTGTAACCTGTTTGGCTAACTCTAACTCTGCTCAGATTTTACCTTCTCATGTGGGCCCACCCTGATCATCCTACTTAAAACCACGCCTCTTAAATTTGGCAATATCCAGTAAACTACGTATTACACAATTACTCATTACCCAGCAACCCAATAATTCCACTTCTAGACATTTATCCCAAAGGTATGCTAACGTAAGCGCAAGATGACTTATGCTTAGGCTGTTCATTACAACACTAAGTGTAAGAACAAAAGATGAGCTGCTAAATAAATTATGGTACAGCTACCCGATGGGGTACCAGGCATCTTTAAAAGGGCATGAGAAGAACAGAGCACATGGCTTCAGAGGGACCCTCAGGATGTCATTAAACAAGAAAAGTACCATGTAGAACAGTATGTGCAGCACTCCACGTTTTATGTTAAAGAGGGTGGACATACAAGCAAATACACACTTCCCTATATTTCTAAAAAAGGAATAAATGAAAATCAAATTTTAAAAAACTTACATATAGGGTAGAAGGGACAAGGATGAAAGTTATCTTCTCTGACTGTACCTTGATTTAGGTTTTGACTTTGTAAACACATGAACATTTTCAATAATTTAAAAAAAAAATTCAAAGTGGAAAAAAACCCCAAAACCCACGCCTGAATCCCAGCACTCCAGAACTCACAAGCCCTGCTCTACCTTTATCCTTTTTTTGGCAGCACATAACCAATTCCAACCTCTATGACTTACTGTGTCTACAGTCTGTTACTGCTCTCACTAGAATATGAGCTCCATCCATGAAAGCAAGGACCTTTGTCTGTTCTAGTCACGGAAGTATCTCAAAAACCTAGAATGATTCTGGGCCCATAGGAGGCTCACAATAAGTATTTCTTTTAAGTAAGTAAGTGATGGACTTGTGAGATACATAACTGGTTATATTCAACACGCAGCAGGAAAACCATAATCCATTCATTATCTGTTCTCCCACTGAGTTAGCCCAGAGACAAGTACTTTCACTTCACACATCAGAACACTCAGGCCCCGTTTCTGGAAGACCTACGTTGAAAATCCCTGCTTTCCAGCCTCTCCCCAGGGCACTGTCCCTGCCTCATGCTGTAGCCCTACATGAGGGAGGCAGTGTGTGTCTGGTCTATCTGCCCAAAGGAGACAGGTCATGGTTTGAGAACTGCATCTGCCTATAGAGAAGATTCCATTTAGCAGGGATGCTCAGGAAGAAATACATAAAATNTTTATCCCAAAGGTATGCTAACGTAAGCGCAAGATGACTTATGCTTAGGCTGTTCATTACAACACTAAGTGTAAGAACAAAAGATGAGCTGCTAAATAAATTATGGTACAGCTACCCGATGGGGTACCAGGCATCTTTAAAAGGGCATGAGAAGAACAGAGCACATGGCTTCAGAGGGACCCTCAGGATGTCATTAAACAAGAAAAGTACCATGTAGAACAGTATGTGCAGCACTCCACGTTTTATGTTAAAGAGGGTGGACATACAAGCAAATACACACTTCCCTATATTTCTAAAAAAGGAATAAATGAAAATCAAATTTTAAAAAACTTACATATAGGGTAGAAGGGACAAGGATGAAAGTTATCTTCTCTGACTGTACCTTGATTTAGGTTTTGACTTTGTAAACACATGAACATTTTCAATAATTTAAAAAAAAAATTCAAAGTGGAAAAAAACCCCAAAACCCACGCCTGAATCCCAGCACTCCAGAACTCACAAGCCCTGCTCTACCTTTATCCTTTTTTTGGCAGCACATAACCAATTCCAACCTCTATGACTTACTGTGTCTACAGTCTGTTACTGCTCTCACTAGAATATGAGCTCCATCCATGAAAGCAAGGACCTTTGTCTGTTCTAGTCACGGAAGTATCTCAAAAACCTAGAATGATTCTGGGCCCATAGGAGGCTCACAATAAGTATTTCTTTTAAGTAAGTAAGTGATGGACTTGTGAGATACATAACTGGTTATATTCAACACGCAGCAGGAAAACCATAATCCATTCATTATCTGTTCTCCCACTGAGTTAGCCCAGAGACAAGTACTTTCACTTCACACATCAGAACACTCAGGCCCCGTTTCTGGAAGACCTACGTTGAAAATCCCTGCTTTCCAGCCTCTCCCCAGGGCACTGTCCCTGCCTCATGCTGTAGCCCTACATGAGGGAGGCAGTGTGTGTCTGGTCTATCTGCCCAAAGGAGACAGGTCATGGTTTGAGAACTGCATCTGCCTATAGAGAAGATTCCATTTAGCAGGGATGCTCAGGAAGAAATACATAAAATCCTAGTGCATTCCCATCCTTTTGTCCTTAAGAAGGTAGGAACAATGAGAAACTAATTGCCTCATGTCCCCATCACCAGCGCCCCCCAACTATAAGCACGACATTCCCACTCCTTGCCGTCCCTCCCTCCCATCACTGCAGATGAGCTCACCATGCTCCTATAGAAAGGCAACGTGTACATGTATTTATTGACTCCCATTCCCTCAGGGACTTTCCTGCAACAATATGTTCTTCTCTACTACATCATTCCCATCTACATACAGACATCTTGAAACATTAACCAGTATTAAAAATTAAACCCTCCCTAAGCCTGACAGACATGCCCCAGGTACTGCCCAGTTTTCAGTTCCCGCCACAGCAGAATTACTCAGGCGTGTACCAGCTGTCGCGTCCCATTTCTCCCATCCCACTCCTGTCAACCTTCCACCCTGCACTCTATCATGTCAGCTCCTGTCACGGACAGCAATGACTTCCCTGCTGCCAGAGCTGATGATCAGTCCTCACTTCCAGGTCCTAAACCAGGGTGGGACAGGGTTAAACTTTTCCTCCTCCTTGAAACCCCTTTTTGACTTGGTTTTCAGGGCATCACCTCCCTGGATTTTCCTCCTGCTTCACTGGCCTGATTTTCAGTTCCCTGTGCTAGGTCCTCCTCTTCTCGCTAACCTTAGGAAAGACCAAGGCCAGTAATGGACTCTTCTCTATCTACGGGCAATCCATACCCTGTCTCATCCTCGTCCATGGCTTCACATATCATATGTACATGTTGCTCCTGACTCTCAATTCTGTCACTCACCTGGACTTCTCCCCTGACCCTCCAGACTCCTGTTTGTAATGCCAACCTACTCAAAATCTCCCCTAGGGCAGGTGTGTCTGATTCACTTGCCCAAAACCAAATCCTGTTTTTTCCCTACAAAATCTGCTCCACCATCCTTCTTCCCGTATCAGTAAAGGGAAACGCCATTCTTCCAGTTGCTCAGACCAAAAACCTGAAGTCACCGTTGACTTCACTCTCCTCCAACTGGTCACCGAAAATCAATCCTGTTGGCTCCACCTTCAAAATACATCCAGCATATGATTGCTTTTATCACTACCACTCGGACCCAGGCCATCAACACTTCTCATCTGTATTATTAGAACAATCTCCTAATGGCCTCTCTGTCTACCATCCATTTGCTCCCCTGTGGTTTACACTTAACAGGGAAAGCCTTTGAGCAGAGAGTCTCCGGCTGCTATTTCCCCTCAGAGTGAAAGCTAAGGTTTCATAATGACCATCCTTAGGGTGGCTGAGAGGGTTACTTGAGCTGCTGTAAAGGAGATGCCTGGCACATACAGCCACTCAACAAATAATGGCATCCAAAAGAGGATGTACCTATGACAAAGATCAGGGTCCTCATCTCTTATCTTTGTTTCATCAAACATCTCACATTCCAATCTCTTCCCTCAAGGAACGAGAACAGTGGGGGGATACAGAAATTATAGGCAAGTAATACCAATGCCTCCATTTTAAGTGCTTAACAAAGCTACACATGAAGCTCTTTCAGGCCCACTACGAGTCCTACACATTATGGGAAACATTTCTGCTCTTTTCTAAACTACATGAAAGAATTTTCCATAAATTTCAAAATCTTAAAAGCAGTTACCTCTACCAAGTTGTGTATCTTGCGGCCATCTTCTTGGATGAGCCTGTATTTTTTGGTAAACAAATCACCCTTGTCTTCCAAAGTAAAGGCGGTCTCCCTTCTGTGCTCTCTCCTGGGCAGGAGTGTGCACTCGGCCCAAGCCCTCATGGTCTGCTGCATCACTCTGACGTTGTGCTGCGTGTGCTCAACTCTGCGCTCCAACTCAGAGGTGGCCATTTTCACCCTCTCAATGTATCCCCAGCAGTCATCCTGCCACGTCAGCAATGACACGGCTGCTTGTAGTTGCTCATCCACAGCCCTCAGTTCATCTTCAATCAGAGGGTATTCTACTTCCAGGAGGGTCTGTTTCAGCTTATTATATCCTTGTACAAGGAGTTCAAGATTTCCAATGTACTGAGCAAAGAAAACCCCAAAACAAAAAGTGCCAAATATGTTAAAGCTCCTTTCTCTACTTGAGAGGCATAGAAGTCTCATAGGTCTACATGTTAATAAGTAAAGTTCAAAATATTTCTATTCAAAATATGTCCTACTATCTAAAAACACAAACCTTTAAAATAGTGTCTCTTTTTTTGAAGATGGCTAAGGCCGAATCCGGTATGTCTGATTTCTTCAACATCAAGAGGTATTTTACTTCCCTCAATAAAGCCACTAGCTATTAAAAGGAAATCAAGGATTATTACATATTTTAAGAGTATCATTCTATTTTAACACAAGTTAAAATCAAGACACTTACAATTTTATTCAATGATTGCTATATTTTAAAATTGTCAAAGGGGCTTTTGTTTCATATGCTTTTTAAAAACAAGTCATATACTCCATATGATGTACAAGTATAAATAATAAATGTCTAAATCAATGACAATGGACTGTCAGAGAAAGAACTCGAGCAAAAGACAGCAATATATGCACACCAAGATCTAAAACGGGAGGTCATAAATGGACCTCGGTCTTTTCCCAGTACCATTAGTTCTGTTATAATGCTTCTTTCAAAAGCACAAATTTGTCCCAATGTGATTGATAAAGTAGGGAGCAATCTCAGCACACCACAAAATTTGTCTTTGCATATCTGAAATTTCATCAGCAATAAATACTAGGTAAATGCTAAAACCTGCACCCAGCTGAATCAAACAGCTAAGGAATATGCAAAATGTTCACATGCACACAACTTCACCATCTACTGGGTACCTCGGATCACAGGTGTGATGAGCCACGCCCATCCACTTCTGGCGGTACCACTTCCCGCCTGGTTTCAGATAACCCTCCTTCCACCACTTCACAAAAACACACAAGTTGCAACCCTTCCAACACCCACTTCCATAAACAAACTTCAGGTCTTTGTTAAGGGAAAGCGCCATATTTATAGTATTTATATATTATAATACTTAACTATTTAAAAATGTGAAAAATTACACACCTGTTTTGTTCTAGGTTCCTATTTCTTTACTGTGTCACTGACAAAGTTTTTGAGTACTGTAGTCCTATTTTCCCCATAAGCTCTATACTTTTTATTGAGCTTTTTATTATATGCAATCTTTCATAATACAGTGATTTTTAGGCATGCATATGTCATGTAGCAGAACTGACTGTACCCCTAAATCACAGCTTCTGAAGAAAAGACCACACAACATGCTTAAGAAGGTAAACCAGTTGACTTTCTTAGGTTGTCTAGTACAATATATTTTGTGTTCATAATCTATATTTTGTGTGTTTATAATCCCTTCAAATAGAATCACAGGAATGATCCCTAAAATGTCTCAGGAATTTAATTTCTAAATATTGGTTTTATGAAATCAAGAGGTAAAGGGATTCCTCAATTCTCTAGGTCACATATTTATGTACGTGTGCTGAGGTTTATAAACAAAATTAAGTGATGGTATTCTTTATAACATTTTAGTGAAACAGATCAAAATTTGGGTACAGATTACAACTATCCAACTCAGTGAGGCTAATTTTCCCACTTCCTAAGGCATACATTCAGACCGCCGTGAAAAATAAGGTAATCACTAAAAATGAATATACAATCTTCACTATCTAGAAATTCATCTAGGTGTTTACTACTTTTTTTGTAATGGCAACTTTCAAATAGATGTTCTTCTATGCTTTCCTGTAAAGCATATTCATGTTAGTAAATAGAAAACAAAGCTTCTTTTGTGACTCCTACCTAGCTATCAGACTTAGAGATAGTTTGTTTTATATATTTTTATATATATATGATATATATGCACATATTGTACATTATATAAATATATACACACATATTTATATAATTGCTATTAAAGCTCCTGTGCTACCATTATTATATAACATGTAATGAAAATGTGAGAAAATAAACATATTCAGAAAATATAAAATTTCTCTGTTATGTGGTTTAAGCATGATAACAAAAGATCCGTTTAATAAGGGTAATTCTCCTAGATACTATTTAAAAGTATCATTTTAGACATTTATATGTTGTTTTATGGGTTTTTTTGAAAACTGTTCTATAAAAGTTACAATCAATTTAACCAACATATTCAATTTTATTAATCCCTTCAAAGGATATCATGACAATCAAAATTTACCATTGTCCACCCAAAGCATGACAAAGGGTTTCTCATTGCATATATCCTGTTGGATTCCCCAAATCTTAACTTACATGATGAAATTTTAATTAAATAAAAATACTGGTATATGTACTATGAATATAATTCAAGCCAGAAAATATCTGATAAAAGACTAATGATTCCATTCAATTGGGTTAAGCATTTATTAAGAATTACCAAGTGCCAGATACTGTACTTGAAATATAGAACACAAATACAGAGAGGGTGCCAAAAAAAAGTATACACATTTTAAGAAAGGAAAACTGTATTAAAATGGTAATAATATATATTGATAACAAAAGATGAATACAAGTCACGTTTGACTTCTGCAATTACAAGAGGTGCTCACAGTGGTTCTCATCAGTGTCCAGACACTTCTGATTACGGAGAACTACTGCTTGAGCAACGTTGACCAAAGTGTCCGCTTGTATACATTTTTTTGGCATCCCTGGTGTACAATGAAATGGACCCTACTCTCAACTAGCTCATTATCAAGTGAAGATGGAAGTTGTAAATAAATTATTATGAGGTAAAATAGAGTAATAAACGTAGAACTTGGGAAACAAATCTCTAAAACACCTATTAGAAGTTGGTTTCAGTTATATTCCTCATAGCACTGTCATTTTCCCACAATATAAATGACTGTAGATATCAGAAATATAATAAAAACGACATCTACAAAACATCTTAAAAACATCAAACCCCTACCTTTGGGTCAAAGTTGACACTGAGAAGACCATTTATGGCACTGAATTTAACCAAGGGTTGATTCAAACTGAATTCACAGATTTTATCCACGTTACTTTTCCATTCATTATAGATACGATTTTCAAATTGGTCTAGCAAAGTTGTCATTTCATCATACTTCTGATAAACTAAGGCATCATCGGGACTTTCCAAGAATCTGTAGGAATAAGGTTTTTTTCCACTTTTCTATACATTAGATAGATTTCAGCTTAACTACTTTACAATAATATACAATACAAAATAAAGTACACTATAAAAATCAGGAAGAGAAGCAATAAAGGCCAAATAATGTTGTGACTTGTCTTAATAGATACGATTATGCAATGAATGGAATGCCAAAGACTTTACTAAATGCCAACAGCAACAAGTTACCAATTCCTACAAAGGAAAGAGAAAGGTACAGAACTCTGCACACTAAAAGGAGGGTTAGTTATTGGACAAAGGAAAAACAATAACAAAGAAACTACAAATATATTGTGGGTGAAAAGGAAAAATGAAAAGAAAAAAAGGACCTGAAAATGTGGAAATATATAAAGTTATGAGTCCCATTAAACACATTCCAAAACCATGGGGATGAATCTTCACCGATGAGCCCAGCCAATGAAAAGAGTTATCTGCAATGACTCTCTAAGAGCGAAAATGAACAGCTCCTGCCCTACATAAAAATCACCTATAGCATTAGGGTAATTTTACCATGAAATAAGCCTGGCTACTTACAGATCCTGAAGAGATGCAAAGTTTGACCAAAACTTTTGAAGTCGTTCAAGGACCTCTTTAGCCCATTTGATATTTCCGGATGTAAATGGCATATTCTTGTTAAGAACTACATTTCCGCATTCAATCTGCAAATTGTTATTTTGGTGAAGAGGAAGAAAGGGAACATTTAATCAGAGTGCATTCCAACCTTGTAAACAGTTGTTCATTTTAGTACTTTTACAGTACAAATATGTAAAATATATGTATTAAGTAGCTTGATTAGAAGAGTTATGGTCCTAAAGCACATTCTCTACCTCCATAAGGAAACCAATTAAATAAAAGCATAAAGCCTTAGTGCCTGTATCTAATCTTTAGATATCATTAAATGCAGTCCTAGTTGATGGCCATTACCCATAAGAATGATGCTATGGCTGTGCTCAGCTTTACCCCCACTTACCTGTTTCACGTGTTCATTATACAATTGCTTACACATATTCAACTCGGCATTAAACATGTGCACCAGTGTGCTGTAATGTGGGCTGAAAATTTCCATGACAACTGGTTTCTCTAGAAAATTCCCAAATACGGTCAAAAGCTATAAAAATCAAAGTTAAAAAAAAGGTTAAGAACCATGGGTTTCTAGGACAAATACTCTGCTCACGATTTCTCTCATTAAACCTCTTCTATGACTAAAGTCAGAGCAAAAATCTAGAACCCTGCAAGCATTGTGCAATATCTCCACATTGAAAATGTATTTTTCCAATAAAGCAAATTCTAAATGTAATTTCCCTTCCTCAGCAGAAAATGAGAGGAGTCAGAAAAAAAAAACAGTCTGCCAGCAATCCCTGCTCACAGGTAATATTACTTCCTGTTGGGTGCCAGGAAACGTTTTAGAAGATGCTTTGCGGATATAAGAATTAGATTTATGTACTCTTTATTTGTTCTTCCCTCCTACACATGTGTTCTTTAGATACAGAATATCAAGGACCTCTAGGTCACTCCATTAATAATTATACCGGATGCATGTCACAATGACTGTCCTGCCCACAGCTGCCCATGTTCCATACCATACCACCCAGCCAAGCCCCAGCCAAGCAGCCTGAACAGCAGTGCTGACCTGCTCCTGTCCCAAGCACAACCACTCCACAGGCAGCCCATTCCTTCCATGTGAATGTCCTGACTCAAACCAATGCCTTGAGCTAATTAATTAGATTCATTTTCATTTTCATTTTCATTTCCTCTCCCTCTCCCTCTCCCTCTCCCTCTCCCTCTCTCTCTCAGAAGGAGAAACTGGGCATGGCAGGCGGAACCTATGCTGGCAAAATTTTGAGTCAGCATAAACTATGAGCAAGCAGAGGAAGCTAATAAGTAGGAGACAGAAAGAAGCAGGTACATGGACTGAAACAGGATCACATGACCAGCAAGCAGACTAGTGAAGGTCCTCAGACTCTCTTTGCTCAGTCCATGGAGACGCCTAGGTACTAACTAACCTTTACCATCAGTTTCCACAAAGCTTAGCCTATCCGGTGAGTCTAACCTTCGATTTCTATGAGCTCCTGTCTTGTTTTCTGCCCCACGTGGATTCTTCTGTGTGCTAGCTAGAGTGAGACAGATTTCTTTGCAAGCGAAAGAATGTCATTAAGATACATATTTTTGTATAAGCAATGTTTATATAGGGCTGACAATGTGCCAGGAACTCAATTTTAAGGGGCCTTAAAAATGCTATTATCACAAGCTCCAGATAAAGAAACTGAGCTGTGGAGAGGGAGTAACCTGCCCAAATTCACACAGCCAGTGGCGGAGCTGGCATTTGACAAGGGGCAGTCTGCATGGGACTGTGCTCTGTGCAGCCTCTAGTCAGCCCACATTTAAAATCATTCTTTTGTTGTTTGCTTACTCTGTGTAGGCTTCATAAAATGTTAGTTATTAAGCCTGTTATATAGAGTTTTCTTTGAAATAAAAGAAGATATTTTCTCAAAATAACTAAATATAATCAAGGTGACAGAAAACTATATAATAATACCAAGGTTTGTGCCTTGTTAGCGAAGTGGCAAAAGAACTGTTTTTTCCTCTTGGGGAAATAATAGGTGTTCCCGCAAATGTGTTTTCTTTAAAAGAACAGCTTCACTATAAACATTTTATAAACATTTCCATAAACTACATTCACTGAAATAAAAAAATGAACACAATGAAAAAATTATACAAACTAAAATGTAAATCTAACCATATCTTAGAAGCCAATTTAGACAAATAACATTCTGGCTTTTTTTTTTTTTCTGGGTAATACAAATTATAACTATTGTAGAAACTGCTAAATATTTTTAAATCTGCTTGGTTAGCTGCTACCTAACAAAATGTAAATTATTAACTTTCTTCTCACAACCATTGTTTTGTTGAGTTTGGACTTCATGTTTAAATTCAAAACTAAACACTGATACACAGATTTAACAAAGAAATGTACCCCAACAGCAGTAGGGAAACATTTATTTTACAACATTCTCTTTTAAACACTTATCATATCGACCACAGCTGAAACAATACCAGAAGCTTCCTAGCTGCATCTCCTGCCTATGCATAATGGGCCTTAACTCCAAGTGTAAAATAAGAAAGACAAAGAGAGAATTGTCTTTGGGGAGATTATAAAGCCAGAGGGTAGCAGTGGGAAAAACAACAAAAAAAGTCAGCCTTTTAGGCAGTATACATTATGATACTTTTTCAATCAATAATTACCCTCCACAATAATTGAACCTCTTGTTTCCTTGTCACAGTGGAACTAAGCTATTTTATAAAGAGTATAGATGTTTTCCTTCAGATCGACCTCAGGAGATTAAAGATGGACTCCCACTTTATGCTTCTGTTCCTAAATATCCCACTTGAGATCTGTAAGGTTTACCTTCATTTTCTTCCACTTCTTCGTTGCATTTTGTAATTATGTCTTTCATAAGGCTGCTGCCACTGTTCAAGCAATATATATTTACAGTTTTCCTAGGTTGCCCCTTTCAAAGATTGTTGCTGCCTGAACCATACACACTTCACGATTTTATAGTTTTCAATCACATTGTCTGAATACTTTTCTAGACACTTTTTTATCGTACACTTCACTCTACCTTCATGTAGACAAACTGTAAATTTTAGAGAAATACGTCCATGAGTAGTTTGCTTTTTGTTTTTTCAGTGAGTGCCAACACTGTAGACTTTGAACTGTAGTTTCATACTAGAGCAGAACAGTGTTTGGTTCCAGCGCCCTTCTTGGCCACGTCTTGGCTGAGAGCAGGCACTGAAGCCTGGTCTTCAGAGAACGCTCTGCAAATATTTAGTCCCTGGCACACAGCAGTAAGTGGTCAGAGTGCATCATCCCACACCTATGGTAGAAATCACTTCCTCCTTAAATATGCAACCCTGTAAAATTTTCTTCTGCCACCACTCTTCCTGCAGCTTCCCTCCAACAATGTCATTTCAGTCCTCTGACACCCAGTCAGCCCACCTAACTTCAAGCATTTAAGTGTCTGCTTTACACAAGGCATTACAGATGATCCAAATATTGTACAACAAAAATCGTAAGATGATGTCCCACCCTGCCGTAGTTCATCTTGTTTCAGTACAAGGTACAAATATGTGGAGAGTTAAAAATACATGAAGGGCCGGCCGAGTGGCGTGATGGTTAAGAACTGGCTTGGGACGCCAGAGGGCCCCGGTTCGGATCCCACATATGAGGGCCAGTGACACTGCCCTCCACAGCTAAGATGCTGAACAAAGCTCAACCTGGAGCTGGGCTGCTGTGAGTCACTGGCGACTGCGTAGGCTGCAGCCCCTGTGGCAGTGGGTTGCCATGGGCTACCGTATGTAGCCAGCAGCCAGCGTGAGAGGCCAGCAGCCACAGTGAGCGGCCGTCCAGAAGCCGGCGACTGATCTGCCTCATCCAGGAAGAGCGCAATGATGGTGCCAACTTGGGCCAGTGAAGCAACGTCCTCCACAACTAGACTGAAGAACAAAATGACAGCAACTTGTCTGTTCCCCTTCCCCCAATTCCCCAGCACTGTTCCCATCCCCCCAATTCCCCAATTAAAAAAAAATACATGAAAATAAGAGATACAATTGCTTAGGAAAAAAAAATTGGCACGTATTAGAAAAGAATCCATATTAATGGTTGTGTAAAGGGGAAGAAGACAGACTTGAATTGAGAAAAGCCTTCATAATTAAGACTTCATTCTACATTCTTTCTTCCCGTTATTTACAAAACCACTGACAAGTGGCTCCAGTCACAGAGGATTTGACAGGCTGCGGTGTAGCCAGTAAAAAATAATATTGTTGAATTCTGTTATAAAAGCATGAAAACATTCACTATTCAGTACTAACTGGAAAATTTTACCAAAGAGGGTCAGAATATGACGTCATTTTTGTCAAGGAGAAATATGCATACATATCCAGTCAAAGGGAAAGTGTGGCAGTATTCAATAGAACAGTATTTTTGAGAGACGGGATTACAGGTGGTTCTATTTTATAACAGGCTATATATTTTGGCCGGCAGCATCTCAGTTTCATCCAAGAGCTCTTAAAAAACAGAGCAGTACTTGATCCTCATGAATTCTCTATGTTTAAATGCTTGACTAGGGCAGAAATCACTAGTAGCTTCATACTATCTGACCAATTCATTTGCATTAGAAGGTCAAAACCAAACAAATATCTTAGACAAAGTCTGTGTCTGTTATATTGTTTTGCACTGCCGTTTCCAATGAATTGTGCCCATGATTCTCTAGCTATGTTTTTTCTGGTATTAAAGCCTCAATTCCTCTTTTGGGATGTCATCTGAATTTATAGTTGACTTTCAATTCTCTTTTTTGACATACAAATTTCAGACGGTGTCCCTGTTCCCCATATTAAAAGTTTTCCAGTTGGGAGGACTATCAAGATGCTTTTCTTTTATGCAACTCAATACATACACACCGTATTTCACCAATTCTATGAGAAACATTCTTTCATGTTTTAACATCTCTGAAATTAGACTACCTTATATAATCATGGCATTATAATTTTTGACATTTTTATTGATACACAAAGTAGTAGCATCTCTGATAATCAATGGTATATTATACCTGATGAAACACAGTATATAAATTGCTATTTATTTCAGTCAGAGTAATAAAATGGGCAGGTGAACCCAACATACGTAAACAATGGTAAAAAAAAAAATCCTCAATCAACGGATATTTTTCACTTTTCACAATAGCTTACTTTTGAATATTTCATTGGCCATGCCAAACCTGCTATAAAGGGGACGAGAGCCAAAACACTGTGAATGCAAGAAAAGATCCATAGTTAACACTGACCATGTTCAAAGTGAACTTCATCACTCATTGGTGCATTATTCAAAGTTTATAATTCAGCAAGCTGAATATGAAGAGAATGTGACTTAGTTAATAGATTACCAGGATCAGAAAGGAATGTATTCAGCCCTTTCATCTAACAGTCAAAATTATTCATTAGTAAATTATTATTATCATAGCTTCTTCAGAACTAACCTTAAATGCAGCTTCTAAACCATTGCAGTTCAAGAAAGCTTCACAAAGAATTGTCCCCAGCCTTCTGTCAAAATCCAAAGTTTTTGACTTAAACACAACATAATCACTTTCAAATTCCTGTAAAATTCAAAGTAAAGTATTAGTTTACAGGAAAGAGTCCAATAGTGAAAACTGCAATGATACAAGAATAACACACCTCCCCGCCTTTCTGAAAGAATTTACTTTTCATAGCAAGGTTGCAGGAAAGATAAAGAAAGAGCTTTATATGACCAACTGTTCAAGCGTCAGCCTTATAGAAACACTGAACATTTAGCAGCTGTCAGCCCATTTTTTTGCAATTCTTTTCACTGTTCCAGACCCCAACATCAGTCATTTAACCCACCAGTCCTTCTCCCAGTCCATTCTGATTATAAATGAAAGGGAGTCAAATACATATGAGGAAGGAGACTTGACTTTGGGGGGTGAACACACAATGCAATATACAGATGACGTATTATAGAATTGTACACTTGAAACCTATATAATTTTATTAACCAATGTCACCCCAATAAAATTTAATAAAATTATAAAAAAAGAAAAGCTTTTCAGAAAAGAAAAAACAAAAACAGAACCCACTCTCATTATAATTTTAGTATATCTATAAGTTTAATAGGTAGCTTTCCTGATTTGTGTTTCATGGAGCAGAAAAACCTATCAGGAAACACTTTCTTCAGGTGAGAACTAAAATCACAGATTCTGTAAGGAAGCATCATTAGTGATAAAGATGAAACAAAATACTCTTACATTTTCCCAGTGTCTTATTAATATGCAGTTAACAACCCCCAGTTTCCTCCTGATGTGAAACCACCCACTCCCATAATTAGAAAGCATGAAACAGTGAAAGAAGAACTATTATCTGCATAGCATTTCAATTCAGTCTTCAGTGAAGAAGTCCCAGAAATTCAGAAACTCTTTGAGCTTTCCTGTCAAACTGCCCCTGAATACATGCCACAAGTTTAACATAATGAAGTCCTTTGCTACCTCCATATACTGGCCCTCCATCTAGTAATAAAAACAGTAATAATAATAATGACAGCTAACATTTACTCAGTTTTCCATTCTAAATGATTTACATTTTTTATTAACTTAATTCTCACAACATATGATACAGGCAATATTTTTTTTCACTTTATAGGCAACAAAACAAACTCAGAGGACTTAAATAATTTGCCCACAGTCACACCATCGGTAGATGGGAGGACCAGAATTTAAAGCGGGGCAACGTGGCCCCAGAGTCCACACTGCAGCCATGATGCTTCTCAGAAGGAATGCACCTTCGGCTGAATGGAACACACGCTGAAAACAGAACGTAAGAGCAAAGTTCTAGAGGACTTTGTCAAATACCACAGTGCTTTATTTAGCACCAAGGAAGTCTCCAGTTCTCCTGAATTAGAGCCAGACAATCTCTTTCATTCAAGGACTACTGACTTTTAAAAGTAAACACAATTTCCCAACAAGTTGTAACAAGCCTAACTGACCCCACTTCTCAGTACGGCAACAAGGAACATACAACTTAGGATCTTCAAACATTGTTTGCATACTTAGTAAATAATATCTCAGAAGCGGGGAGGGAGGATGCTAATCTCCATCTTAGATCTCTCTCCCGCTTTCCCAAACTCTTTTCTCTCTTCCTCTCTCAAACCAAATTCAGAACTGCCAATGATTACCACTCCCCTAGGAAGTCCCAGATAATTCACACTTATCTTGCATATATCTCAACTCATCTACTTCTCTATAAAGCAGCTCTTCCTTTTATACACTCTAACAGGAATTTCTGCAATCTCTTTGACTCGGTTTTCTCTTGGTCAAGTGCTATCGATCTTTTCTCTTAACCACCTCTTGGATATGTCCACTACTATTCTACATCTTGCCAGGCAGCACCCTAATTCGGATCATAACTACCACTCACCTGGATTACTACTAACCACTTTCTACTTTCTTTGCCTCTAGTCCTGTCTCTCCGAATTATTCTTCAAGCTGCAGTCTAAACACGCTTTCTAAAACAGAAATCTTACTGTGGCACTCTTAACACATAATCCTCCAATTCATAACCTTAATTCAGAACCTTTGATTCCTTAAGATAAAGTCTCAAAATCTCACGGTAATCTACAAGGTCCTTTGTGATGTGGGCCCTATTTCCACTCTCAACTACTCCTTACCCCTCCCTTTTCAAATTCTAGGATCTAGCCAGCCTGCCTTATCACCTTCCCTCTCTTTGTGTAATACAATTTTCTGGTAACCTCTTTTTTTCCGCACCCACTCTTCACCTGTTTCACTTCTATTTATTGTTCACTTCTACTTATCTTTCAATTATTTTCTGTTTCCTTTTCACCTCCCCTGGGAAGAGGCCCTTCACAAATGCTCTCGTAGTACTCTATAATTGCCTGCCTGTATTCTCCCCTGGATTTAAAGCTCTAGGAGTCTAACGGCCAGGTTTATTTTTTTTCACAATTAGAGGACCAATATTTAATGAGGTTCCCAGCACATAGCTGTTTCACAATAAATATTTATTGAAGAATACATAATATGCTGGTATGACTCAAGAACCAATTACAAATTTTTTCTATATTCTGAAAACTGCAAAATCACCCTTTATTAAGTGACATGGGAAATGAAGAGTTTTAGCCAGAGAAATGCCATGGTTAGCCTGCGTGCCTAAAAGGCGCTCACTTGAGCTGCTGTGTGAACAGTCCCTCATGATGTCAAGGCAGGGGCTGAAGCAGTTGTAATCCAGGTTTTGCACTAAGTAGCCCATGACGCGTAGCATTTAATGAGTTGCAGAGGACAGGAAAGAGCAGGTTTGGGGAGAGGTAAAGCAGGGGTTTGCTGTTGCACATTTATTTTGAGATGTTGATTAAATATGTAAGTAAAAATGCAGAGTAGGTAGCTGACTCTACACTTTGCATTTGGGATTTAGGAAGGTCTTTTACCGTTACATTCATATAATGTGCTTTAGGTTTTGGAAAATGTTCTTTATTAAGTTGATGAAGTTCCCCTCCATGCCTATTTCTGAGAATTATCATGAATGGACACTGAATTTGGTCACATGCTTTTTATGCATCGATTAACATAACCATGATGTTTTTCTTCTTTCACCTGTTAATATGGGGACTACATGGATTTTCAAATACTGGACCAGCTATTCATCCCTAGAATAAACCCATTTAAACATGATGTATAATTTTTTTATGTTACTGAATTCTATTTGCTAATCATTTAAAGATTTTTACACCTATATTTAAGAGGGAAAATAGTTTTACTTTTCCCTTTTTTGCATTATTTTGCCTGGTTTTGGTATCAGGGTAATAACTACTAGTTTCATAAAACAAGTTGAGAAGTATTTCCTCCTCTTGTATTTCTGGAACAGATTGTGTATAATTGGTATTGATTTTTAAATATTTCGTAGAATACTCCAGTGAAACAATTGGGACTAGACATTTCCTTTTGGGGAGTTTTTAATCACAAATCCAATTTCCTTGATAGTTATAGTGTTATTCACATTACCTATTTCACCCAACATGAAAAAAAAATTGTGACTGTGTATTGAGGGACATTAACTAAACTTATTGTGATAATCATTTTGCAATATGTACATATAACAAATCATTATGTTATACACCTAAAACTAGTACAACGTTATATGTGAATTATATCTCAATTTTAAAATTATCTATTTCATATTCAGCGAGTTGTAGTAGTTATGGTTTTTTTAAGGAGTTGGTCAATTTCATCTAAATTGTCAAATTTACGTGTTTCTAGAGGTTGCTTTTTGTTTTGGGTTATTATTCTTTTAATGTCTACAGAGGATGTAATGATAGCCCAGTTCATTCTTAATGCTGGCAATCTACTTTTTTCTTTGCAGTGTTGCTAGAGCTTTGTCTTTTCAAAGAACTACCTCTTAGTGTAATTGATTTTTCTCTATTATTTTTGTTTTCAATTTTATTGATTTCTTCTCTTAATTATTTCCTTCCTCCTGATTGCTTTCTACCTACTTTGCTCTTCTTCCCCAGTTTCTTAGGGTAGAAAACTTAGATTATTGATTTGAGACTTTCTACTTTTTTAATATCTGCATTTTAGTGCTATAAATTTCCCTCTCAGAACTGCTTTAGCTGTTCCCATACATTTTGATATGTTGTATTTTCATTTTCATTCAGTTCTCTACATTTTATTTCCTTTGAACTACTTCTTTGACTCATGGAATATTTAGAAATGTACTTTCTAGTTTCCACGTTTCTAGAGATTCTCGTTTCCATAATTTATTTCTAGTTTGATTCCACTGTCATCAAAAACATACTCTGTATGATTTCAAATATTATAAATTTGTTTAAGTTTGTCTTATGGCCCAGGATATGAACTGCATATCATGGTACATGTCCCACGAGCACTTGAAAAGAATGTGAATTCTCCTGTTGTTGCATGGAGTGTTTTATAAATGTTGGTTAGATCTTCTTGGTTGATGGTACTGATTTCTACATCCTTGCTGATTTCTCATCAACTTATTCTTTCAAATGCTGAGAAAGGAGCATCGAAACCTCCAACTAAAATTGTGGATTTGTCTATTTTTATTTTTTTTTTAGTTCTATCAGCTTTTTAATCACATAGTCTGCTGCTCTGTTGTTTGATGCATGTGCATTTAGGATTGATACATTTAGGAACTCCTACAACTCAACAACAATAGAACCCAGTTCAAAAATTGGAAAAAGTCTTGAATAGACATTTCTCCAAAGATATAAAAATGGCCAAGAAGCACTCGAAAAGATGATCGATGCCACTAATCAATAGAAAAATGCAAATCAAACCACAATGAGATATCACTTCACAGCCATTAAGATGGCTAATATCCAAAAAAGGAAAGCAGAAAGGGAGGAAGGAAGGGAGAAAGGAAGGGAGGAAGGAAGAGGAGAAATATTGGTGAGGATGTGGTGACATCAGAATCTTTCTGCATTGCTGGTGGGAAGGCAAAATGGTTCAACCATTGTGGAAAACAGTTTGGAAATTCCTCAAAAAGTTAAACAGAATAGCCATATGATTCAGCAATTCTAATCCTATATACCCAAAAGAATCGAAAGCAGGGACTCAAACAGATACTTGTACATCAATGTTCACAGCACCATAGTCACAACAGCCAAAATGTGCAAACAACCCAAGTATCCATCAACAAAGAAACAAAATTCAGTATATACATACAATGGATTATTTAGCCTTAAAAAGAAATTAAATTCTGACATGCTACAATATGGATGAACCTTGAAGACATTATGCTAAGTGAAATAAGACAGACACAAAAGACAAATACTATATGAGTCCACTTAGATGAAGTACCTAAAATAAACCAATTCAGAGAGAGAGGGAAGAATAAAGGTTACCAGGGACTGAGGGGGGACGCGACGGAGAATTTCCATTTAATGGGGAGAGTTTTTATTTCGGATGATAAAAAGTCCTGTAAGTGGATAGTAGTGATGGCTACACAACATTGTGAATATACTTAATGCCCCTGAATTGTACACTTACAAATTTAAATGGTAAATTTTACGTAAAATACATTTTACCATAGTTTTTTTAAAAGAAAAACACCAAAAACCTTACCTCCATTTTTATCTCTTTACTTTCTCGCATTTGTAATACAATGATCTTAAATATTTTCTGTACATACATTCGCTTCCACCATCAAACATAATTTATGCAACTCAGGAAGATAAGGCAAGTCTAGTGTATTTACACACATTTTTTTTTGCTTACCATATTCTTCCTGGTGTCAATTAACAGACAAAGTGGAGCCAAGTGGTGGCTATTATGAAGAATAGCCACCATCCTTGCTTAGTTACCTGGGAAATTTTAATTAATCAAGTAACACCTCAAAATGTCATCAAAGCAAAGCTCCTAAGTCTAAAGTCACCTGACAAGCTGTTATACATAAGTAAGAAAACAAGTCTCTTAGAAAGTTTGATATTATAATACAATATTGTTGTCTAGATTCACTAATATGAAACTTGCTAAGAGACTTGAACTTAATGACTACAATTACTAAACAGAAAGGATAATTATTTAATGTGACAGAGGTGCTAATTGTCGCTACTGTGACAATCGTATTACAATGTAGCAATGTAGCAAATTAATAATAAATGTACACCTTAAATTTGCATGATGTTACATGTCAAATGTATTTCAATTTAAAAAAATAAGAAAGCACGTCTCTGCCCATAATTGTCCAGACCTCAAATAGCCCTGTAAGAAGAAATCAAAGAAAATACCTAAAGTGACCTTTCCATTCAATATTAATAATTGAGAAACCCTAAAACATTTTATGGATACACCTGAGAAAACCCACATTCTGTAAATGGGCCACAGTGTTGGACCTTTTGTCACACCAGTAAAGTCTCAGAGCCTAACTAACAGGCTTGAGGTGGATGAAGAGAGAGAAATAACAGAATTTTCAAAAGCAAATTACCAGGAATTATTTCTTTAATTTACTAGAACATATTTAAACCATTTCCATTCAAAAGTGCAAGGCTAACCACGATACACTCAATTGCTATGTTAGCACTAGCGTATATTCAGTGGGGACCAGGGAAGACACTGGGGTGTATGCAGTGGGAGGGGAAGGGCATGTGTCATGTGGATACACCTGTGGAAGCAGTTTACTAAAATAGTGTCTCATAAAAATTACCAACTGATTTCATCTTAAAACTCAGAGTACAATGAACTCAGCTTAAAAGGCACCAAATTGAATAGCTTATTAAACAAAAAAACATATAATCACTGCAATATTCTGAGTCAACATTGATCATCAGGACTCACTCAAAAAAAAAAAAGGACAGTTCTTCAATATAAGCATACCAATTAAGTGAACTTTTAGTTAATTCCACTTTGATTTCAAGGAATGACCAAAGTCCAGGAACATCTAGATTCTATTCTAGGGGAGAGAATCAGACAGGATGAATGGGGACTTTCAGGACAGGTTACTGATGTCTCCAACCTGGACCTGCAGACCACAGGTAAGCCTGGCCCATTTTATTTGCAAAATAAATGGGGTTCCAAAATATCAAATACAAGTACTAAACACAAATACCAAGCAGGCGTATGTCCAGAGCAAATTCATGTTCTGTTCCTGTACGCCTGTGACTCTGCAGGCTTTGGGCAGACACAGGGATAAATTCCAGACCTTTGGTGTTGACAAGGCAGTGACAGCCACTAAACCTGGCCATGGTCTCGAACCCCGGCATGCTGAAAATCTGCCAGGGTTTGTAATAGTGAGGAAATCAAGACTCTCCTGCTACTTGAGTGCATCTGAGGGTCCTGTGCACAGTGGGTCCCACTCCTGTGTTTGGCTATTTGGGAGAGCTAAGCTAAGGTTCCCCTAAGAGTCCACTCCATCCACGTTCACTGAATGCCCACCAAGTGCCAGATGTCATACCAGCTCCTGGGCATGAGCTCAGGCTATCAAGACCAGTCCCAGCTTCCTCCTGCTTTCCCACAAATTAGCAGGGACACACAATGACAGTGTCTTCTTACCATTAATGCCACTTCCCAAAAGCTGACTACAGTTCAGAGGGAAAGTTTGACCACTGACCGTGGTGTCCTCAAACAAAGCGAACACATTGCACTTGTACATTCCAAAGAATGGATTATTAGGCCAAATGTAAACACAACAGTGAATAAATTCACATTCCTTATAAAACAATAAGGACGAGAGCTAAAATCTTCTTCTTCTCCTTCCACTTCTTCATTTTTTTTTTTTAACCCAGCCTTCTCTGTTCTTGGCAAACCATTAAAATAAAGCTATTTTTATCCTAGAGCTGCAGGGATGCTCACAGGAAACTCCCTGGCTACTAACATGCTGGGAGAGACAGAAGTCTGAAAGCTTCCTCCTATTTCCCGAGGTTAAAATTTGAAATTATAAATAGGTCTAAAGAATAACAGCAAAAAATATGAGACAACATATATATTAATGACATATGTAGTGAGTAGGGTGAAACTAAATGTTGAAATAGACCAAAAAACGTTCTAGTGATGCAGGAAAAGGCTAAAATAAAACACACAAGTTACATGGACATCAGATTACCAGATCGAAATGAGTTAATTTGGAAGGTTCCTTTTCAAAATACAGAATCAAAACTCAAAGCCAGGCTGAGGTCCACTGTGATGTCAGAAACAGTTCTAAACTGAACACGCAAAACCCTAAGTTCTGGTCCCTGATCTATCACTAAGCAAGAAACTTCAGGCAAGTCATTTAACCACTTTCATCCTAGAGAGGTTGGACCGAAGGGTACCTATTATCACTGTGACCTATCGTCGTTTCCAACTGTAAAATTACAGGATTCTATGAAATAAAAATGCAAAGGTATAATATTACCATGTTATTGTAATCAGACGGGTCATAAGTGCTCTGTTTAAAAATTTCACAGAGTTCCATAAATTCTTCACTCATCTTGTGGATTTGTCCATTTAAAATTGCTCCCTTGGTACCGCCAAATTCAAGTCTCTCCAGTTTTTCAAATTCCAATATGGTGACAAATAAATCCTTTGTAAAAACAAAGAACAGTAAAGATCTTTCCACCATCTTGAACAGGACAAGAGCACTTTAAAGTTTCAAAGAAGTAATATTTTCAAACATTCAAAATCCATGAATTCATGGACACTTACATGATTGGGAAAATGTTAATGATTTAGTCGAACAAAGTAACAGCTACTTTTAAAAATCATACTCCCATTTTCATATTTATTGAAAATTATCTAGCAGTAGAGGCAAACCGAACTTACCATTGCTAAACATAAGGCTGTAATTTTATATCCTAATTATAAATCAGATCCCCAGGTAATGTCCAAAACACACTTTCAGCCACCTATAGTTTGCAGTGAATCAGCTGTCTCTTATTGAAAGGGAGCTTAAGAGATTATTATGAAAGGGAGACACAAGTTGCCTGAGGTTATGCATTTAGCTTTCAGACCTTAAGAGGCATTCAGGCTGATTAGGTGATAAGAATTTTTAAAACATAAAGCTCCAATCTTCAATAAAATTTAATAAATCTTATATCAGCAAAAAAGCCCAAGCTTGCTAATAAGAGCTTTCCAAAGAAAATAAAGTGTCACTAGTTCAAACTTTTAAAAAAAAACCTTAGCCAGTTGGCTCCATACTAATAGGTGGGTATTCGAATGTGTGTACAAGTGTGTTTTCAGTGTTTGTTTTCTAGGTATTTAAAACATATTTATACAGTGCACACATTTTCATGTGCTTTTCATTCAGTTTTATAAATGGTTTTAATATTTAACAGTATAGTGTATTTATTTATATACTAAAAGTTAGTGGGTATTTTAGATCATCATATTGTTTTCAGGTACGGAATCCCAATGCCAAACATTAAACACATAGAGGAAAAGGGGGATTAGTTTACAGCTTCCTGATTTACAACTGTCTTCTAAGAGCCTAGTAAGTTGTAAATCAAGGGTCACTGGTACATAAAAAGATTCACTTACACTCATTGTAACACAAGAATCAAAAATGAATTTTTAAAAAAAAGACAAACTAAAGCTTTTAAAGCTATCTTTATAGCACTGATCTTGTGAGCTCCTCCTGAGAGTCACTAAGAAAGGCACCCTGCCACTTCCCACACAAGTAGAATAAACTGTTCTTCAAATCATAAACACCTACAGGATTCCTGATCCCACCTACAATATGAATAAATTACAAATCAATCAATGAATACCTCTATTTTCATGAACCGGTCAAGAAATTTGTCAAATCTACAAAACACCAGATGAGATTGAAAATCCCACGGCTTCAGCTCCTTGTTTTCCATACAATAGTTGGCCAATCCTTTTCTATAGTTGAAAAAAGAATGTTTGAAAGTCTTTAAGATGTTAATGGCCATCTGCACCTTTTCCAGGGAGTCTTCAATTTCTCCTTTCAAAAGGTCTCCAGGCGAAAGGTAAGCTGTCGCCTAGGATTTAATGAAAGGAAACAATGATAAAAACATGTGAAATAATTTTTTACTGAAAACATGTTTCAATGAATCTTTTTATTTAATTTTTTTTCAATGAATAATTTTTACATGACAATGTCCTGAATTGGGCCAGCAATGCTGTGAGACAGAAAGCACAAACTGTAGAAATTCAGGCACTTAGGTTTCAATGACATACCTGTATACATTAGAATAATCTACAGAAGACTAAAATTTCTGAATTCCTACGCTCCAGCAATAGCTAAATTCCTGCTAAGCTTCACTGATATGACAACTGTGTAATCAGAATTTGCATGGATATTCCTGCCAGCAAATATTCTGCACACTTATTTTTTTAATATAAAGAAATACATAAGCCAGGAGGAAAAATACCAGACCATGGATTTTACAGATAAGGTCACCTTATCCTGCAGCATAAGGTCACTTGCAAAGAGAGAAAGAGCTGATATGGGTGAGTATACCATTGGCAATTCTTGGAAGTTAGCAAACTTCTCTTCTGGGGCTTACACAGAACTATAGGACATAAAATCTAGTTGATATATGCCAAATGAACTAGGTAGTTTTGAAAAGAGGAAAGGGAAAGGACAGAAGGATTAAAGAAAGAGACACAGATCTACGCAGCACTGGCCAAACGCACAGGAAACTCAGCTCAGTTTCTTCTAGTTCTTCTCTCCATATTTGTCATGAACATTAGAGTTTCCTTCTTTAAGGAACTCAAGAACTTACAAATTCTAAAGGGTCTTTTGTATACTGTGACTTCCTGACGCATCTGAACCTCATCTAAATTACAATGAGTCCTCACTTACCATCTAGATAGGTTCTGTGACTAAGCAAAATGACAAAACCAGTTTTACCAGAGACTAATTGATATAAACAAGAGTTAAGTTCCTAGGGCATCTCATCAACATTATAACAGAACAACACTGAATGAAATGACATTATTCAAAAACCGGCTGAGTAGGTTTAAACCGTGTCCCTTTAACCCTGTGGTTGCTTAGAAAGTTTATTAGAGGCCTCAATGGAGAATGTAATGAAAGCCACTGATTTCAACAGGAGAGGAAAGGAGTTTTTTCTAAATGTAGACTTATCATCCTCCTTGTCCCATTAATGGCTACAGTTCTATGTGCAATATGGACTCTATGCCATAAATTCAAGAAGTAACAAGAAAATCATTAACTACCCAAAAACCCTACTGATTAGAATCCTTCAAGTTCTGGGTGTAGAGTCCTAATCTGTGCTCTTATTTCTCCCTCAGCTGGATGGAAAATGAACCTCTACAGGAAGGCTGCTAACATTTCACACAGCACAGGGAGAACTACCAGTCATCCCTTGCAATGTGAGTTTAAAACAGTTTACACTTTGCTATGGACTAGGGATTCCGATACCTTTAGGTAAAGGTATGCATGCTTTATAGTGAATACGTCCTGTTAGGAAGCAAAAAAACTATGGAGATCACTCCATTGCCTTGTGTTTCAGTAGCCCCACTGTGACCTAATTACCTCCATCTGAAGAAACTACCCTTGGGCAGCTGTCCTTATAGTCATTCTCCTGTTTCGTGGCTGACCCTCACACACAGGAGACAATCATAGCAATTCCCTGTCATACAGCCCGCAGTTGAATAAGACCTCCTAAGATAAGGGTATAGCACTAAATATCCTAGATTACAAAACCCAGACTACACCCTTTCACTGGGTAGCAGGCTATGTGAGAGGAAAAAAGCATCAGCAAGCTCGGGAGACCTGGCTGTGATCCAATTAGGGGCCACCAACTGGTTTTATGACTTCAGCTAGATTGTCTCCAAGGAACTCTGTTGCCTAATCTGCAAAAGGAGAGAGATGACGTCATGACTCTCAAGACCCCTTTTCGCTCTTAAGCTCGGGGTTATTTTCTGCTTCTTACAGTACGCAGCTCATGGAGCAAACCCAACCAGCCCAGCTCTTCATACTCGCTCATCCTCAACGGTATCCACACAAACAACGAAAAGCCACCGGGTATAGGATGAACTGGTTCCACTGGGGAGGTCTTAAAAACTAAAACACTGCTGCCAATTTATTTATTGATAAGCCAATTCATCAATTAGCATTTAAGCAAATTCATCAAGGATATTGTTCGCGTGCTGCCTGTCTCCCAGTTTCTTCTTTCCTCGTTTTCATGTGCTTATGAATTTTTACTTTTGTTCAATCTTGACACCTTCTCTCCAAGCTCGACCTCTCAGACTTGAATTCTTCCTTACCTCGGATCTTGCGAATGACAACATCCATAAACAGTGGTACCCAGCCATGGAACAGACAGAGGGGCGAGCCTAGAGCGGTGATGATGCACAATGACCAGGCAGCAAAGCCATGTTACCAGAGAAACTTTTAAAACAGAACCCATCATCAAAGCTCAAGGGTGTTATCATCTAAGGTGGCCAGACGATGCCTTTTATGTGTCTGGCCTAAATAAGTTAGTGGTCACTATGAGAAACAGTGAAGAGAAACGCATTTGCTCCTAAAGTAACAGAGGGTTTCCGGCTATGACTGGAATGTCTGGAAGGATCAGGCAGACAATAAAAATGAGTGAAGCAGATCGGGTAACAGCAGGTAATGGAGACCATGCTCACCTGGATAGCATGTGACCCCATCTAAAAGGGCACTGGAAGCTCTAGCAACTGGCTGTGACAACAGGGATGCCAGAGCCAGTGTAGTGAGATCTCAGTGCAGGCTGAAATGCGAAATTTAAATGAGAATTCAAATTGATTATCGGCAATTTTAATTTTAATATACTATGCAAAATGAAAACACTGCATTGATCTATAGGCCAAATGCAGCTGACCGCCAGCCAGCTTATGACCTCTGATGTATAACACAGCAAGTGTTCAAATGTTTCATAAACACTTTAAGGCCGGAGTTTCATGGAAGCAAAGTACAGGAAAGCTATATGAGGAAATACAATTATAGAAAATATGTAAGATGTGTAATCACACAAATCATGCAAGGTACAAACTAAGAAACATTACCACTATATACCTGATAAATCATACCAACTTTAAAAAAAAAACAGTAATGCTCAAAGCTGGTGAGTTAAACTAAATCTTTTTACACATTGATAATAGTAATGCAACTGATATAACTTTTTAGAAAAAAAATTATAAATATTAAGTATTATTCAAGAGCCATGAAGAGATTGTACCCTTTGATCAACATCAGGAATTTATTTTAAGCCAATTATCCAAGTTAAGAAAACAGAATTTTTGTATTAAGTTGTTTTCTGCATGTTTATAAATAGAAGAGGCTGGAATCAATCTAAATATCCAGAGTAACAAAATCACTTTTCAAGAAGCTAGAAAAAAATTACATGCAAGATAAAATGCATAATTATACCTAAGTTTTGGGGGAAATAAAAATTAAAAATGCTAAATGTTAGGGTGATAGAGCTGCAGGACGACTTCCATTGTTATAAATTTTGTGCAATGAGAATATTTTATAATTATCACTAGAACACCATATTATGTTGAAATTAAAAATAAAAACATTTAAAAAGTAAAAAATAATAAAAACTTTTTTTTTTTTTAAGCTGAGCCATCCTGCCACCTGTTGGCAGCTCAACAGCAATTCAGCTCAGGCTGGGACTCGAACCGCTGTTGCTCAGAGCTCAAACTCTTGAGCGAGCTCTTAACCAACTGAGCCACTCGGCCGGCCCCCATAAAAACATTTTAAAATATGAAGGATAGCATAATGAGTAAGAACTCTATCACTTACAAGCTGGGTGATCTTAAAAAAGCTATTTATTTTCTCTGGACTTCAGAGTTTTTTTAAATATAAAATGGGTCTACTAATAGCACCTTTGTCACAGTGTTGCTATGAATTGAATTTGTGAATTTCTGTAAAGGGCTCAGAAGAGTTCCTGGCAAATAATAGGCCTTATGTAATATTTGTTGAATAAATATAAAAATAAAATTAGACAGCAAACAATCTGTGAAGGGCCGGGGGGAGTTCAGCTGTTCAGGGAACCCAGGTAGGCAAACTGGCTCACTGCTGATTTTTTATTCCTAACATGTTGGGGCAGATTTACTACTAAGTCCCTTTGAAGAATCAAGGAAATGAGGTCAACAGAACCTTTGAACAGAAGGCAAGAACAGTAACCAAGGAACAAGAAAAGCTACATTATGTCCTTGGAAGACTGACAAACTCTGGCCATTGACGCAGACTAGGGGTCAGGGGTAACAGGTTTACAGGCTCATAGGTAACCAAGATTTCCTGTAAGCCACCGACAATAGTGAATGACCATGTCTGGGGTTTACACAGTAACAGGGCTTCTTCTCAAAATGAGATGAGGATCCCTCCAAAGGGGTTTGGGAGAAATGATGGTTCTCATCACTGATCCTGCAGTGGGGTTCACGGTCTCTCACATGGAGAGCCAAACCATTAGGACCCAGGACAAAAACTGAGTTTGCACAACAGAGAAGCAGGCATAGAATGAAGCCACAGAAATGACACCATGTAGCAAGGACCTGACCTGTAATCTCCTACCAAGAGCTTCAACTAGCTTGTAAATCAACAGTTTGGAACTTTTGTGAGCCTCTATTAAATTCCACACTGGACATTCCACTCAGGTTATCTCGTTTGATCCTCACAATAGCCCATGGACTAAGCACTTACAGATGTGGAAACCGAGGCTCAGAGAAGTAATTTAACTTCTCTTAAGTGGCACGAGATTTGAACCTAGATTGGTCTGAGTTCAATGTCCTTTCCACGTCACTCCACCTCTTCAGAAGCAGGGAGAAAAATATAAGCATATTAATAACTCAATGTCCTAGTTCAGAAACTCTTAACTATAAGTCAGGACACCTGTTCTCTAGTCTGGTTTTCCCCCTAAATTCTCAGGGAAATTGAGCAAATGATATCTTCAGTCTCAGTTAACTCTTCTGAAAAAAAACAAAAAACAAAAAATCCAGGGATTGAGTTGGAACATCATGCCCCAACCAGTTTATCCTACAACATTTTTCTCTTTATTGCTAAGAACAGGAAAATTCTGGTGTCTGGAGAAACAGGAGCTCTGAGCTGCTTGTCTTGACTACAAACAGACTTTCAGAGCTCCAAACAAATCCCTTTCCATTTACTCCACCATGCAATAAAAAAATAATAAATTAATTTTTCTACATGAGCCATGATGTGGAAACCACTGGGAAGCACTAAGACTATCTGTGATTTAGGTCAATCACAGTTGTCCACTTTCCTGTAGCAAAAAATCCAGGCCTTTCCAAAATACTCTATCTCTTTGGCCACAATTATTCCAGGAATGGAAATAAAACACACTGAGCCAGAACTAAAAAGGAACCCAGCCTCTTTCCAGTGAAGCTCCTTCTCTGCTGCAAGGGTATACGTCTAGGGCTACCAACAGCCACCTTCTTCAACGTGTGGTGACAGTCTGAGAATAAAGTCAAACACACACCAGAAAAATGGAGGATGGTGGGAAGCTCTGAAACTATTATCTAGTCCTCTGGAACAAGCTATTCCTGAAGTCACTGCATTTTTAGACTTTCTAGTTTCACATAAACGTATACTTTTTTTTTTTTTTTTTTAACTTCAGTTTGTCAGTTGCAACTGGAGATCCAATTCTGGTGGGAAGCCTTCTTAACCCTCTGTTTGGTGCAATTGACCGCACAGATTCATTACACACAAATTTTCAAACATTTAACACTTAAGTATTGTGGCTTATTGCTTCTGTATCTTCCCCCTCTACAGTAACCTATCACCAGTCGTGTTTGTGACTTAGTACAGTAAAGACGTATTTCATAGAGGCATCTTTGTGTGCAATGAATCTGTGAGATCAGTTGCACCAGATGGAGGGTTAAGAACTCAAAGGCTGGGCCGGCCGAGTGGCACGATGGTTAAGAACTGGCTTGGGGGCCGGCCGAGTGGCGCGATGGTTAAGAACTGGCTTGGGATGCCAGAGGGCCCCGGTTCGGATCCCACATATGAGGGCCAGTGA